GTAGACTTGTCTTTAATTACTCCAATAAAAAAAACAAACAAACCAGGGTTTTGTGAGCTGGGCAGGGCTCTCCCTCCCTCTCCTTGTTAAGCAGGTGTTGTGTTTTGTGTTGGTGGCTGGAGTCACCCACTAGGGCCAAGGCCTAGGAAGAGGCAACAGGCTCCTTCCCCAAATAGTGGTCAGGTGGGGTGGAGGGTTGGAGCATAAGCCATGCAGTCTGCTTTAAGTAGAAACTTGAGAAGTTAGTGTTCAGAGTAATAGGGGCTATGGATGTAGCAAGAAGGATGTGGAGAGTGTCTGGGAAGATTCTCAGGGCCATTAAGGAGACCTCGTGTGAATGCTTCTGAGCAGGGGAATCAGCCCCTTGGGAGGCAGCCTGCTATGTTGTGGGACAGTTGGTTCTGACCATTAGGAAGCCTGTCCTTCTGAAATCTATGACCCTGTAACTTCTTCACTATATTTTTCCTCAACCAAGGACATGGGCTGTGCAGTGTTGTTTTTAATTTTTAAAAATAGGTATCTTTTGTTTATATATAACCTTCATTTTCAAATATATTCCTCCCCCTTCTCCTGCCAAGAGAGCATCCCTTATCAAGAAGAAGAAAGAGGAGGAGGAGGAACCATTCAGTGCATCTAATCCGCACATCAGCCACACCCTGGTCTATGCATTTGGTCGGGCAAAGGACCTGGGTTCGAATGCTTGCTCTGCTGATGACCTGGGTGTCTTGGCCTAATAGGTTCACTTCTCCACTTTAGTTTAAATGAGGAGATTAGACTAGATAATCTCTGAAATTCTTTACAGCACAAAATCTAGTTCGACACCCCCAGTCCCCAGCCTTGGCAAAGAAGGGGCGAACAACGGGCAGCGTTTGTGGAGTTTGTAAATGGGACGCAGCCTCCGTCCCCAGGGTCCCTGCCCCCAGCCTGTGCCTACTTCCCACTGTGTGAGCGTGGAGAACGCGTGCAGGTGAGGTCTCCCTTTTCCTTCAGTAGTGTAGCCACAATGCAAAGAACATGGGATTTGGGCACCAAGGACCCGAGTTTGCATCCCAGGTTTGAATGCTGTGCATTAGCTATGTGACTTCAGGCAGGTGATATCCCCCCTCTGGGACTCAGTCTTTTCAGCTAGAAAATGAGGGAGTTGGACAGGATGGATAATCTGAACGAGTTATTTTAGCTTTCTAGAAGGCTCGTTAAAGTTGATGCCAGCAGCTTCAGCTTCTTCAGCCAGTCCTTGTATGAAGTGATCTATGCCACCTTCCCCATATTTTCTGAGCATCTACCATATGCAAATGATGGGACCAGGTCCTGGGAAGACTCAGCAGAGAGATAATAGAGTCCCTCGCCTTCTGGTAGGGGGTGAGGGGCTAAGACGGAAGCCCCAGATCATCCTCATGGACCATCCTGCAGGTGAAGTGCCCACTCTAGGGCAGAGAAGGGAGACAATCTGAGGTAACCTGTCTCAGGAGGGGTAATCAGGATTTGCCGGGTCTCCAGATTGGTGGTGATTAATTACAAACTTGGGGAGAGGCCTCAGCTTCAGGAAGAGAAGAAGCCAGAGAAAAGCCTCCACTTCCTTGAGGAAACACGCTCAAACGAAGGCTGCAGAAAATAGCCTGTTCCTGTGGGCATGAGAAAGGGCTTCTTTTAAGGCAGGGAGTGGTGATCATAGGCTGGTGGATATTGGTAGCAGAGCTCTGGCCATGCCATTCTCCTTGAAAATATTCAGTGGCTCTCTATTAGCTCTAGGCTAAGATGGGAAACCCTCAGTTTGGCATTTAGAACCTTGGAAAATCTGGCTTTTCCACCTACCTTTAATATCATAGAAGCAGATTTAGAGCTGGATGAGACCTTAGAAAAAGGAAGGAAGGAATGAACATTGATGTCGTACCTACTGTGTGCCAGGTGCCATGCCAAGCCCTTTTTACAAATATGTCTTTTGATCCTTACAAAACCCTGTGAGATGGGGGCTATTAGTATCCTCATTTTACAGTTGAAGAAACTGAGATAGACAAAGGTTAAGTGACTTGCCAAGGGTCACATAGGTAGTAAATGTCGAAGGCTGGATTTGAATTCAGGACTTCCTGACTCCAGGCCTAGCCCTCAGTCCACTGAAACACCTAGTTTCCTCAGTTTCCCCTCTTGTCCAGTGGGGAAAGGCTGTCAGACTCCATGTTTCCCAAGGACCCTTCCAGTTCCTCTAGAATGTGACCACATTTGTCTATAGCCACTCACAGCTTCCTTTGGGAAGCCAGTTTGCTTACATGGCCCTAACTGATTCATCTCCTTGCCCATGGAGTCGCTGTTGTTAAGGGTGGCCAGACTGTGGGCTACCCTGCTCTGGTTCAGGACTTTTTTTGTTGGGATATTTGTGTTGAGAGGAGAGGGGAGGAGAGGCCAGCAGTCTTCCCTCTGTGGTGTCCAGAGTGAGAGGTCTGGGAGAATTTTCTTACAGCTCAGTAGTGAGATGTACAGTGGCATTTCTCCTTTCTTTCCAGTTTGCCCTCTGGCATAGCAAGTTCTAGGGAGCTGGTTTCTGAGAACTAACTCTTCCTTTGAACAAACGTGAACTTGGAGAGCTGGGGAAAGTTCACCTTGGCATTCAGTCCTGAGCAGCGCTAGCAGAAGCAGGGAGCTGGTGCTGGAAGCCTAGAGGTCTTCGTAGCTGCTCGGAGTCTATGTCTCCAACCATCCCCCCCACCCTCCTGCAAACCATAGTGGGTAAAGAAGCCCCTGAATACGAAGCTTCCTTCTGCCCAAGGCAGCCCCTCCACCCCCCGCCCCATTGCTCAACAACTTGCTTCCTTGTAATCCCACTGTACTAATTACATAATGTAAGCTGAGGACTCTGCTGGGGTTGGTTTTATTTTAATCTGCTGGCAGATTCTGGCAACTGAATGTTTATCTTTCTCTCCTTAAGCTGTGGTGAAAAGAGGATGAGGCAAGGCACTGAGAGACCTGAGTTCTAGTCTCAGCTCCTCCTTAAACTCATTTCCTTCTTTTTTTAAATTACCAAAAATTGAAATTCAATTTCATTTTTAAAAAATGAATAAGACCTGCTTCCTCTTTCCCCTCTCTTCCAGTGGGGGAAAAAAAGAAAGACAAAACTCTTGTAACAAATATGCATAGTCAAGCGAAATGAGTTCTTGCCTTGGCCATATCCGTTGTGGTTGCTCATTCTGAGCCGGCATTTTTATAGATTGGTCACTACATTCCTTTGCTCACAAATCCTCAGTGACTTCTGGTTGGTCATTGTGTGCCCTTGGATGAGACCTTTCACTTTCTCTGGGGTCACGGTCATAAAATCCTAGATCTCCAAAGACATGGTAGCAGCATAGTCTAGGACATCAGAAGATGTAGGTTTAAATCCTAGTTACTCAGTTGCTCATTCCTTGTGGGACCCGGGCAAAGTCACTTACCTACCTGGGCCTCAGTGTCCCTATCTGTAAATGAGGGGGTTGGACTAGATGTCTTCAGAGGTCCCTTCTAGCTCTAGACTTAGGATCCTAGGTCTAACTCAACTTCTCTGACACTTAAAATCCAGCTCTATTTCCTCTCAACCTTAGGGGTCTCAGATTTTTTTGGTCTTAGGCAGGGCTGTGCACTGGTCGATGTTTGTCCCTCTGAAAAAAAAGTGTCCATAACACATTTTAAAATTTAATCTGTATTATTGACATTTTTCTCTATCACTTTTTAAAGTCTAGACAGTCAACAGAACAATAAGTTCAGCCCTGATTTGTGATGTTAGTCAATTTCCAAGGTATAAATGCTCACCCTGAAAATTTAGCATCATTGGAGCTGCTATGAAGTGGCACCAACACAATCATGGTTCAGGACCCTTCACACTCTTTTTAAAAATTTTTATTTACTTATTTTTAGTTTTCAACATTCACTTCCATAAGATTTTGAGTTCCAGATTTTCTCTCCATCTCTCCCCTCCCCCACCCAATACCCTTCACACCCTTAAAAATGATTGAGAACCCTTCAAAGAGCTTTTTTTTGGGGGGTTATATGTATTTATATTTACTCTATTAGAAATTAAAATAAATGAATTCATTTAACATTACAGTAATAGGCCTATGACATGTTAATGTAAATGGCATTTTTAATGAAAAAAACTATATTTTCCAAAACAAAAAAAAATGAGAAGAGCGGGTTGTTTTCCATATTTGCAAATCAAATTAAGGAGTGGCTTACTAGATGACAGCTGGATTCTACTATCTGCTTCTGCTTTCAATTTGTTGCATTCTGTTGTTTTGGTTGAACTATATGAAGAAAGGCTGGCCTCACACAGATATGTAGTTGGAAAAGGGAAGCATATTTTAATAGACAAATCATGTTTAAATATTATTATGAAAATAATTTTGACTTTGAAGATCCCCTGAAGTGGTTTCAGAGACCCTGGAGAGTCAGGGGATCACATTCTGAGAAGCACTGGACTTACCCCGTATTGCCTGATTTAATTTCATAGAGGTCAGAAATGATCCTATGTGGCCAAATCATTTAGCCTCCCTGAGCGTTATCAGGACTCGCAGGCTCACTGGCACAGGGCTTACTGATGAGTTTCCTCATCAGTAAGATCAGGAAAGGAAGACACAGAGAAAAGATCTCTGAATTTGAGGGGAAGGACCTGGTTTTGTATCTCAGCTCTGATCCTTATTACCTTTGGGTTTTGTATCTTAGCTCTGAACCTTATTACCTTTGTGGCTCATCTATAAAATAAAGAGGGTAGACTTGATGGTCTCTGAGATGTTTTCTGGGTCTTTGATCCTAGGGTTACTTGGGTATTTAAAGTCTCTTAGCTGTCAGGTTCCTCATTTAGCCTGCCTTTTGGTAAAATGCCTCCAGCCTTGGAGTCAGGAGGACCTGAGTTCAAAACCGATCTCAGACACGACATTTATTAGCTGTGTGACCCTAGGCAAGTCACTTAACCCTGATTGCCTCACCAAAAAGTGGGGGAAAAAAAAGTAAAATTCCTTCCTTGTCTTCCTTCCCTACAGTGTGCCCGAGTATGGACATTCGGAATAACCTCACACAATTGAACATGTTGGAACGCTGCTCTGTCATTGAAGGCAACTTGCAGATACTGCTGATGTTTAAAACAAAGCCTGAAGATTTCCGGGACCTCAGTTTCCCCAGACTTACCATGATCACAGAGTACTTGCTGCTCTTCCGAGTATATGGGCTTGAGAGCCTCAAGGATCTTTTCCCCAACTTGACAGTCATTCGTGGGTCCCGCCTCTTTTTCAACTACGCCTTGGTCATCTTTGAGATGGTCCACCTCAAGGAGATTGGCCTCCACAGCCTAATGAACATCACCCGGGGGGCTGTGCGCATCGAGAAGAATAATGAGCTATGTTACTTGTCAACCATCGACTGGTCTCAGATTCTAGACTCGGTAGAGGACAACTATATCGTGGACAACAAAGATGACAAAGAAGAGTGTGGGGATGTCTGCCCTGGGGCAGTGAAGGGAGTCAACAGTTGCAAGTCCACAGTGATCAACGGCCAGTTTATTGAACGGTGCTGGACCCACAACCATTGCCAGAAAGGTAGGAGTCACAGTCAAATTCTTTATTGTTATCCTTGAAGGGCAGTGTAGTGGAAACAGAACCAGCCTAGCTCTGGTACTTGGATATTCTTTGATCTAAGGTCCCCTTCTCCCCACTCTCCCAGCTTTGACATTCTGTGTTCTAAGGGCCCCCCCAGCTCTGACATTCTGGATTCTAAAGGCCCTCCTAGCTCTGACATTCTGGGTTCTAAGGGCCCTCCCAGCTCTGACATTCTGGGTTCCAAGGCCCTCCCAGCTTTGACATTCTGTGTTCTAAGGGCCCCCCCAGCTCTGACATTCTGGATTCTAAGGGCCCTCCCAGCTCTGACATTCTGGGTTCTAAAGGCCTTCCTAGCTCTGACATTCTGGGTTCTAAGGGCCCTCCCAGCTCTGACATTCTGGGTTCCAAGGCCCTCCCAGCTTTGACATTCTGTGTTCTAAGGGCCCTCTCAGCTCTGACATTCTGGATTCTAAGGTCCCTCCCAGCTCTGATATTCTGGGTTCTAAGGGCCCTCCTAGCTCTGATATTCTGGGTTCCAAGGCCCTCCCAGCTCTGACATTCTGTGTTCTAAGGGTCCTCCCAGCTCTGACATTCTGTGTTCTAAGGGTCCTCCCAGCTCTGACATTCTGGGTTCTAAGGGCCCTCCCAGCTCTGTTTTGCCATATGCTATTAGCTTATACCCTGATAAAATCTTCCCTTTCCCAGGGGTTTTTGTGGCATAGTGGAAAGAGCATTGGGACTGGATCAGGAGAAACCTGAGTTCAAAACCCAAATTACTTACTGTAGTGGGAAGTCCATTACCTCCTTACTTTGCTCCTCTCTAAAATGTCATGATTCTTTAAATACCCAAGTAACCCTACTATCAGTAACCCTACAAGAGACAGGTAAAGTACCTGTCTGTCAGGGCTAAGAGTCTCAAGTGAGCTGATGTATGGAAGGTGATTTACAAACCTGAAGTCAGCACTTTATCAGTATGAACAGTTATTACTATACCTAGCTAAAAATGATGTGTTTCTGTCTTCGTGTTTTTGACCTGTCTTGTGAGTGGCATGAATAAAATCCAGCAAATTCAACCAATATTAGTAAATACCTATTGTCAGAGCTGGAGTAATCGGGAAGATCTGAATTCAAATTCTGCCTTTGACACGTCCTTCTGGCTGTATGACCTTGAGCAAATCACTTAACTTCTTAGTGCTACAGGCAACTCTTCTAAGACCACAGTTATTGAGAAGGTGCTGACTCAAAGTAATGGAGGGAATCTTCTTACTGAGAATTTCTTGTACCAATGAATGGTGCAGAGTGGGAAATTCTATAGTCCCTCCCCTCAGGGAGCTTGCGGTTTAATGGGGAGGGGTAAATATAACATAAATAGGATACTAGGGAGAGGGCCAAAGAGACGTCTAATGTGCTCCAGGGAAATTTCAGGAGAGAGAAGGCAGAACCTCATTTTCTCCAGCTGAGGCTCCGTAGAGGAGGTGATACCTCCTCATCTGTGCTGAGCTGGGAAAAGAGGTTTGTAGTAGCTAGAGAAAAGTGGTTAGAGAGCACAGTAAGCCAGACTAATCCAGACAGTTGGAGAGAAATCCAGTAATCTAGAGGGAGATCAGGAAACAGTGCCAAGTCCAGGTGGGCTAGAGTTTAGTGATATAGAATCAGGCTGGGGAAGGAGAGGTGGAGGCCAGATTTTTCAGGACATTAGATGTTGGGATGAGCAGTTCATATTTTCTCTCGGGGGAACTAGGAGCTACTGAAGGTGTTTTAATCAGGACAGACCTGGACGTGAGGAAGATTATTTTTTGGAGGCTAGATTGGAGAGGGCAGAAGCTGGAGGCAAGGAGGCCTTTCAGATGGAGGCGTCAACTGGGCTCGCTCATCCCTTCAGCAAATATTTATTGACATCAGCTGGGATGCAAATATTTATTGGCTACAAAGATGTGGTAGGCACCCGCCTACTCTCTAGGAGAGCTGGAGGAAGCTGGAGTTAACAGGCTTTGTGGAGGATTACCCTGGCACATGTTCTCTGGGGGCAGAAAAGTCTGTTCTTACTTAAAGGAGTGATGTGAGGTGAAGATTCTAGCCCTGTCATTGGCATTTAGGGCCCCAGTCCTTGGTTAAGACTTTACTGCTTTTTGGATGTCAGTTTCTTCTTCTTAAAATGGGAATGAAATGGACTGGACTAGGTAGTCTGTAAGGTCCCATCTTGAAATTCTGGGATCCCCAAGCCAGCCAAGAAGCTGTTTGGGGAAGGCTGAGAGTATGGGGTGTTTTTGCTTTTCTTTGTACCCCTAGTGCTTAGCATAGGGCCTGGGACTACGTACGGAGTGCTTAATAAATGCATATTGTTTGACTGTCAGTATAAGGGGTGTGTGTGTGTGTGTGTGTGTGTGTGTGTGTGTGTGATCATGTGCTGGGAGAAGTCAGCAATTCCAAGTACAAACTAAAAGCATGGGACTTGGTATTTTGAAAAAGGATCCTTCCTGGTGACATGGGTTTCTAAAAAGATTTTCCTGCTGCTAGGATTCTCCAAGGTAATTGTGTTACAACTTTGACATTGAAAGAAAATCCCCCAAAATAAGATACTAAATAAATAATTCATTTTTTTCTTTTTGGTCAGGCAGTTGGGGTTAAGTGACTTGCCCAGGGTCACACAGGTAGTTAGGTATCAAGTGTCTGAGGTTGGATTTGAACTCAGGTCCTCCTGACTCCAAGGCTGGAGCTCTGTCTACTGTGCCACCTAGCTGCCTCCTAAATAAATAATTTTAAAAAAGAAAACAAAGAAACCCCCCTCAAACTGTGAACACAATGGAGGTCAGGAGGTTGGGCAAAGAGGAGACTGAAGATTCCCTGTTTACCCTTTAAGAAACATGATTATTATAGTTTTAAAAGAACTTTCAGTAGATCCCTATTGCCTCTAGGGGGAAAAAATTCTAAACTCCTCAGCTTGACCCTTAAAGCCCTTCACAATTTGGCTCTAGCTTACTTTTCCAGGCCTATTTAGCATCATTCCCCTTTATGAATTCTATGCTTGAGCCAAACTGGGCTCCTCTGAGCTCAGCCTTCTCCCCTGCCTCCATGCCTTGGCATAGCTCCCTGTTACCGCCAAGGATGCCTTCGCTTCGCTCCTTTACCTGTTCCTTTAAGGCTCAGCTCTTGTGCGCTCTTCTATATGATATCTTTCCTGAACCCTCTCAGCTTCCTCTCCCCCTGCTCATGTTATTATTATACATATACTTAGCTATTTACATGCTGGGTTCCTCCCAGCAGGATGCAGGCTCTTTGGAGGGCTGGAGTCTCCCCCTTTTAGCATCTGTTTTAGTGTCCCCAGCACCCAGGACAGTGTATGCTCAGGTTGGTGTTTGATAAAGGCTTGTTGGGTTGGATTAAAAAGGAAAGGTGGGTTTCTGATGATGATTCTTGTACAGTTTATTGAGGATTGGTAAGGCTGGCCCTCACATGTGGGTTGGTGGCCAGAGGATGACTCTGGGGATGCCTGGCTCCAGCCATCTGGTGTCCCCTAATCAGCCACTGAGCCTTCCAGAGGACTCTTCTGGTCAGGTCATAGGGAGAGAGAAATGACTGCACCTTGGCCTCACCTTGAGATCAGTTTCTCACCAAGTTTTGTTTGTCATTGATTCAGTCAGTCAATAAACATTTATTAAGTGCCTACTGTGTATGAGGCACTGGGCCATGTGCTGGGGATATGAAGAAAGAAGAAAAGGGGCCGCTAGGTGGCACAGTGGATACAGCTCTGGCCTTGGAATCAGGAGGACCTGAGTTCAAATCTAGCTTCAGACACTTGACAATTACCAGCTGTGTGACTTGAGGCAAATCACTTAACCTCGATTTGCCTCACCAAAAAGGAAAAAAAAAAAGGTAAAAGAAAGTCCTTGTCCTCAAGGAGCCCCAAGTCTAATGGGCTTGTTAAATGTTTCTGATTCCCTATCTCAGTCTAATGCCATAACTAAGGATCTATTCATTTATTGTTTGTTTGTTTTTTGTCTGGATCAAGGAGTTCACTAGTGTAGGAAACTCATGTTGGAAACCCCTCCCCTTCTCCCTATCAAGATCTGTAGTTCATCTGTAACTTCTTTCCTGGGATCCAGTGACTTGCCCAGGGTCACATTGCCAGTATGTATTAGAGACAGGACTCAAACACAGATCTTCCTACTCTCAGTCCCAACTCTTCATCTTCTCTTCTGTGCAGCCTCTCTCAATCGTTTTTTGAAATTGTCTCTTTTCCTTTTTAGTTCTCCTGCTCTGGGGATTGGCAGCAATTAGTCTGGGGCTTGAAAAATGCCCCTGACATTTGATGTGTTCACTTATCTAATCTTGGCTCCTGAGAATGTGGTCTGTTTTTCTCTCAGCTCAGAACACACGTCTGTGGGTCGTCATGGAAGAACACGGGCATGCACGCTCATGAGTGTCCCTTGAACACCTGCTTGGGCCCCTCAGCCTCTATTGGAAGCTTGGTTGTTTTTGATTTGTTCAGAAGTTGTCATGTGTCCATGCATGAGTGTGTGTGTGTGTGTGTGTGTGTTGGGTGAGGGGAGTGTTGGGACTGCCAGGCTGCTGGAAACAGGTGGTGGGAGATAACTGTTCTTTCCATCCTGAGCCTGCTTGGTGAGTCTTTTAACCTATATCTCCTGGCCGTCAGGTGCTTAGCCAACCTTCCATTTGAGGTTTTGAAAGACTCTAGACATCTCTGAACTCTTACCTCAAGCCAGGCTGAACTAGGTCCTGAGGACCACTTATTCCCACACAGGCAGATCATTTGCTTCACAACCGGCAGATTCAGTGACTGTGCACATTGGCCCGCCCTCTAGAATGTAAACTCCTTGAGGGCAGGAACTGGTGGGGTTTTTTTTTTTTTGGCCTTTTCATTTCCAGTGTCTATTGAATATTGAATGACTGGGCAAGTATTAAAGTGCCTATTATTTGCCGGTCACTGTGCAAGGCACTGGGTGTGCAAAGACAAAAGTGGCGGTCCCTGCCCTCAAAGA